GAAAATATTTTGAAAGATCTTGGGAACCACTGGGATCTATTTTTATGCCATTTGACTTCCTTAATCTGGCAACAAAGAGAGATTTTTTCTAAATATTTAAACTGAAAATTATGAAATAAATGAAATGTGCTTTTAGTTAATACAGCTATACGACAAAAATAAGAAACCACTTGATATGGGTTAAAGTAAAATGTAATAATAATACTAATTATAATAATAATAATTCATTCATTCATTCATTTATTTTTCAGCTTAGTCCCTTTATTAATCTGCGGTCGCCGTATGTTTTACGCAGCAGATGCCCTTCCAGCTGCAACCTATCACTGGGAAACATCCATACACACTCATTCACACACATACACTAAGGACAATTTAGCTTACCCAATTCACCTGCACCACCTGTTTTTTTTTTTTTTTTTTGACTTGTGGGGGAAACCAAAGCATACAGAGGAAACCCACACGAACACGAGAGAACATGCAAACCCCGCACAGAAATCCCAAATGACCCAGCCTGGGTTCGAACCAGTGACTATCCACTGTGCCACCATGCTGCCCTTAAAAATAATACTAATAATAATAATAATTATTATTATTATATGTTTAATCTGAGTCTAAAAACATTTCTTCAAAATAAAAATAAAAACAATAGTCATTTTAAGCAGTGTTTCTCAACCTTGTTCCTGTTCCTGGCCCACCATCACTGCATGTTTTAAATGTCTCCTTTGTCTGTCACACCCATTACAGGTCTTTCAGTCTCTGCTAATGAGCTGATGATCTGAATCAGGTGTGTTTGGATAAGGAGACATGGACAATGTGCAGAGCTGGTGGTCCTCCAGGAATGTGGTTGAAAACACTGATTTAGAGCATTCCTACCCTCTGAAGATGCTGATTGATCAGATTAATTTTTTTTTTTATTGGATGTAGTCAAAAATCAGGGTTCCACCAAATATCCATTCCAACTCTGAAGTTAAAACTTGTTTTTTTTATTTTTTATTATACAAATATGTCCCCTGCGTTCACGTGGGTTTCCACCAGGTGTCCACAGTCCAAAGACATGCGGTACAGGTGAATTGGGTGGGCTTAATTGTCCCAAGTGTGTATGAGTGTTAATGTTTCCCAGAGATAGGTTGCGGCTGGAAAGGCATCCACTACATAAAAACGTGCTGGATAAGTTGTCAGTTCATTCCGCTGTGGCAATCCCGGATTAATAAAGAGACTAAGCCGACAAGAAAATGAATGAATGAATAAATAAATATGTCTGGAAGTAGGGCTGCATGAAAATAGGAATCTTTTTCCAGTGATATATATTCCGATGGTATCGCTGGTTCGAACCTCGGCTAAGTTGACGTTTCTGTGTGGAGTTTGCATGTTCTCCCTGCGTTCGCGTGGGTTTTCTCCGGGTGCTCTGGTTTCCCCCACAGTCCAAAGACATGCGGTACAGGTGAATTGGGTAGGCTAAATTGTGTGTGTGTGTGTGTGTGTGTGTGTGTGTGTGTGTGTGTGTGTGTGTGTGTGTGTGTGTGTGTGTGTGTGTCTGTGTGTGTGTGCGTGTGTGTGTGTGCGTGTGTGTGTGTGTGTGTGTGTGTGTGTCTGTGTATATGTTTCCCAGAGATGGGTTGCGGCTGGAAGGGCGTCCGCTGCGTAAAAACGTGCTGGATAAGTTGGCGGTTCATTCTGCTGTGGTGACCCCGGATTAATAAAGGGACTAAGCCGAATAGAAAATGAATGAATGAATGAATATATTGCGATATAAATAGAATTTTATTAGATGGCATAAATAGCCCTATTTGCCAAGTCATTACTTTACATTTATTGGGATGATTTTGTAGGGGATTTAAATCTAAATATATTTTTATGTAAATTATTATTTAAATGAATATCATCATATATTATGTACAGTCATAAATATACACAATGGAGCAAATATTACAGTGAATTAACACATACTTTATGGTTTCCTGAGGAGAATCTAACAGTGTTCGGGTATAGAAATGCAATAATCAAATTTAAACTAACATTGCAAAATATTGATCATATTAAGAATTAAATGAATCTTAATAAACATCTTTATTTGCTAATAAAATGCTTAAAATTCTCTTAAAATAGTCACAGGCCCTAAAAAAGATAATAAATTTCACTTTAATATGGTTCAATTCTGTAGTGTCTCCACAAATCTTGTGTGTTTTTACTTGTGGTTTCTGGTCATCTATAAGCCTACTGTAACCCAACATTGCAATATCAAAGCTCAAACAATATATTGTGCAGCCCAATCAGCATTGCTAATTTTTAGTTTAAGCCTATAAAGCTCCTAATGTCAACACTATTTTAAACTGAGAAATAAGGTCATTAAAAATAAACAGAATAAAACCAAAAGTTTATTTTTTATCAAACACATAAAATGTTAATCCAGAAGAACGTAAAATGATTTTCAAGTGGTCTTTCAATTGTTTCCAACTGTATGCATTTCTAAATTAAATAGAGAACAACCAGTGTTACAGTTATAAGCTTAGATTACTGTTGTAGACTTGAATGTAAATTTATGAATATATATATATATATATATATATATATATATATATATATATATATATATATATATATATATATATATTTATATATATTCATAAATTTACATTCATAATAATATTATTGATGCGTCTATATGTTCTATGTCATTCAGCTGTGTAACCACATGTGATTTATTTCATTTAATGATTAACGACTAAACTGAATGTAATTTCTTTAAAACACACTGGTACAACTGCATTGCAAAGGGTCAGTGGTTGTGTGTGTGTGTGTGTGTGTGCGTGCGTGTGTGCGTGCGTGTGTGTGTGTGTATTTGTTTTGTGGAGTAAGAGCAAAGTCCCCCATTTGCAGCATAAGTGCCAGGTAAATGCATTTGATATTATGGCCCTTGCCTTTGGGGGGGTCATCAGCCCCCTTGCCCTATTGTGCCCTGTTTAAAAGGGTTTGTCATGAATGTGAGAGAGCCTCTTTTCCCCTACTGCTCTCCCCTGGAAATGGAGATGTAATGACATTTGCAGCTAAAAGGAGCTCATTCACAGTTTGTACAGTTTAAGAATTCAAATGAAGTGTTTTCGCGTGCTGTATTGCCTCAAGGAACAGGCGAGAGAGGAAAGCAGATTTCTGAGGATTAGTTCTCCAGGTTTCCTTTATTATGTTAACAGTCTATAGTAAATGGTGATGGAGGGAAAACTGAGGTAAAGTAAAGGTTGTGTGTTGGGGAGGGGGGCACGTATCCTCCTCAGCAGGGCCTCAATGGCATGATAACAGTGATACTGGACACAGTTTACACACACAAAAAATGCCAGAGTTTACAGCGGTGAGGTTGTTCACAGCCATTGACAGGGAAACACCTGTTTTCAGGGGAAAAACAGCTCCTGTCAAAACCCTCTAGCTCCTGTCTGGTTTGGTTTTAGTAAATAGAGGCATGTGAAGGGAAAGTACGTGGCCTTTGGGAGAGCTTTAGCATTCAATTGTACTTAATTCGTAAGCACATTCGGCTGTGTGTCTGTGACATACATAAGACATTTTTCTTTTCTTTTTTTATTATGGACCCTTTTTACAAGCCTGTTATGACATGTCTAACGGTCATCAGCATCCTAAATCCTTGAAAGTTTTTAATATTTTTATTATTTTTTTAAATGTAGGAACATTTATGTGCATTTATGTATGTAGTGTATCAGCTTTGCTTCAAATGACGAAAAAAAGAATTACTGCTTGTGTGAGGCATTTATAATGCAGCGTCTATGGGACAGGACAGCAAGTTTGATGTTATTTTCTCCTCTGGCTGCCATCATCAGTCTCACACTATTTTTTTCCTTTTTCTAAAAGACTTGACACCATGTCAGATGCCAAAAGAAATAACACCATCGTGGAGTTTTTCTTTTATTGTTTGAGCAAATAAGATTGTAAAAAAATTGTTGGTTGTACCCACTTATTCACTGTGCTTTAAGTTTTCCCAACTATGACGACTTCCGCTACTGTGAAACACGGATTATTAGGATTATATTATTATAATTAGTAGTAGTAGTACTGTTGTTCGTGTTATTGAGATAAATTATAGCTGTTGTTGTTTGTTTAAGATATACACCTTAATGAGAATTAAAAAATCATATAAAAGTGTGCCATTTTGTTTTTACATAAATGGGTTCATCACACTTAATGGCTATGTAAGATATATCACCCATATTTTGTCATTTTCTTTTTAAAATAAAGGTATTTAAAGTATATCACAAAAACATGTACTGTTAAAAATGCATAAAGATTTACAGCACAATCTTTAGAATTACATATTATAATTATTGACTGAATTTAAATCAGAATGTTTGATTAAATGTATTTATTTATGTAAACTAATATTAATTTATTAAATAAAGAATTAAGTAAAATAAGCTAGTACAGACAGTGCCTTAAATGTAAACAACTGCCTAATTACTTAATTTTGAATATAACCATAATGTAGATCTAATCCTAATGTAATCTTAATTGAAGTCAGTTATATTACATCTACAGTATAACTTCCTCTCAATCAGTTTGAGTCCATAAATGCAGTGTAGATGTCCGAGAGCAGAATCAACCAAGCAGAAATGAACAGACAGACATTGTGTTCCCCATAGTTTCATGTCCAGTGTGCAGATCCCGTTTCCACCAGCCTGCATCTTGTTCTGCTATTCCTTCCCTCTCAGCTTTGGGTCTTTTCGAGCGGTCAGTCTGCAATTACCCATTCCCTCCACCACCGCGATCTTACCTGAGCTGCATGGGCCCGGAGGTTTCCAATAAATATCCTCAGCTTTACTCACACAATGATGCACAGCTCTGAAGAAAATGGGCAGGAATGAACATACACTGGTGCCTTTTTTTTGCCCACCTGCACTGTCTCTTTCTCTCACACATGCTTATTTACACAAGAGCGAATCTGCTCGGCTTCTACCTGATATGCTTGAGCTGTAAAAGTAAAGCCTTTATTATCTCGGCAGGCAGCAGAAGGTGTCACCTTCATCGGACCCGACACACATGCTACTCAAACCATGGGAGACAAGATCAGGGGCAAATTAATCGCCAAGATGCCAAGGTCAGTGTCGTGCCCCCGTGAGCGTGGGCTGGTCAAGGTGAGGAGAGCTTCACACGCACCACAAACACACATCCATTCTTTCTGCCACCTCAAATGACTCATCTGACGTCTGACAAACCGTCACGGGGCATCGGGACTGATGTGTGTGTTTATAAAGACGAGGTGTTGTCAGTTGGCTGTCAGCTCAGGGAATGTTTTTTTGATATGTTGCCACTTTTGAAAATTTGTACCTCCCATGGAATGAAATACAGGAAGTTGCTGTTTTGCAGACATAAGTGTGTGTGTGTGTGTGTGTGGTGGAAAGGGCTGTTGCTAATGAGGGATGTTTTGAAAACATTTAAAGCCCTAATGATGCTGCTGCAAATGCAAACCCTCTTCCGGGAGCTGTGATTTAAGATGGTTTGAGGCTGTGGAAAAATAGTTTCACCCAATTTAAGTCTTGCGTTCCTGTTGTTAAAATATTGGGGTTAGAGGCTAACACGTAGATGAGGAGGTGAACAACCCTGTGGTGTGTGTACTAAAACTCTTTCAATAACAGCTCTGCAAATTCTCAAATCTCCATTTTGTCCCTAAAGTACTTAATTGTCTGCATTTGGCAAGTTTAACACTTCCTGACATGAGGGGCCTTACTTGAATGTCTTTGCATGACTATAAATGAATGGGAATAAAAGGAATGAACAAACACACACACACATAAGCATGCATGCAAATCTATTCGAAATCCATAGTGACCAAATTAAGCATGCCAAGAGAAAATTTCCCACCGAGAAATTTTGAGATTTTAGCTGTGTCTAGTTCTGTCCGCCAGCCAATTTTCCATCAGGAATCTCTCATTAGCAGATGTTTTTGGCCACAACACACACACACCTCAGTGTGATCTGGTGAACCCTAAATTTAACAAGCGCTTACCAGAGCAGACGAGTTAATGAAAGGAAATTACCTTTTCTGCCAATTTCCCCCTTCCATTCAGGTGCTTTTTACTTGGCAATTTAAAATGACAGATACTTGTTTTTTATACTAAATAAACTGATAAATCTTTCCAGCGTTTCATTATATCCGGTAAGTGCATGAGTCAGATATTAACTGCTCTCCATTGATGGCGTGCTCCTTGCAGACCCTAAAGCGTCTGTTTAATTCCCTGAAAGTGAGATGCAATTTTTATTTCACTCTCACATCATTTGTCCTCAAAATTACTTTTCACAATCCTAGCCTCCGTTATCAACTAAAACTGCAATCTGTTTGCTTAGTCTCTTTAGAAGACGGCGATACGGGATGAAGTTTATTTACACCGCTGTCATCTGTTCCCTGCATAGCAACCAAAGACAATGATTTCCACATAAGGGCAGTGGGGAGACAGTGTGGAGAGGAGGATCGGGTAGACGGCCCCTCCAGAGCCTGCTGAAGTGAAGCCGCGGTTGGGTATGTTGGCCAGTCTCGCCCGGCCGCCCCGCAGCAGGTCTGAAGCCTCCTCTATTACTGCCTCCAATCAATAGAAGAGCTGCTCCCCCTGCTGCCTGTCTTATGCTACAACTTCCTCTTCCCTCAACCCTTCCACAACCCTTCACATTTAATCTCTTTTTTCCTTCTCTGTCTCTGCAGTAAAGCAGTCTGGATCATACGTCACGAGCTGAGGTCTGTTATGGAGGCCAGTGGCGAGACGGAAAAGCCATTCGGGAGAGCCAATCCTACAGATACAGCTGCTGCTTTTCCTGCAAATGTGGGTTAAATTAACTCATACTGATGCTTGCTTAATTCAATCTCCTGTTAGAAACGTTTCAGCGTGCCAACATAATAACTGTAATCACCTTGTCATCAAGTCCTGTTGAACTCAATCATCCGCCTCTGAAACACACAATTTTGGTGTTTGACAGCCTACGGAGGCTTCGTGTTACTCTGTGTTTGTCATGGTTGAAAGCTTTTTTAGGCCTCTTAAATTTGATACCACATGACCATTTAAAATGGTCAGTTGTCGTACTCTTAATTTTGGATGATCAAAGCTTCAAATTAAGTTGCTCTCTGCTGGTAGGCTTTGGTTTTTGGTATGTGGTGGGATTATGTGCGAACAATATCGAAAGCAATTAATTAAGATTTTCCCAGAATTTCATAGCAAACAGTGCTGAAAAATATTTGTGATTTTTTTTCCGAAGTTTTGCAAAGTTAAACAAAGTTTATGAAGTTTACGAAGTTTTAAAGCTAAAATTAAAATCTTCACACTTTGACTTTACAGTTTTGCTGATGTCTTTTTTTCACGCTCAGTATGTTTATATGCATATTTAAAATCTGGACCATGAAGCCAGACTAGTAAACCTAAACTAGTAATCATGTTGTTCAAAAAAGTTTAGGGTCAGTAAGATTTTTTATTATGACTTACACTACCGATCAAAAGTTTGAAGTCAGTATGATTTTTAAATGTTGGAAAATAAATTTATTCTGCTCAAAGAGGCTGAATTTATTTCATTATAAATACAGTAAAACTTGTTAAAAAGGTGAAATGTCATTGCACTATAAATATCCTGCCAATTTATCCAGCATGTGTTTTACGCAGCCGATACCCTTCCAGCTTCAACCCATCACTTGGAATCATTCACACACACACACACACACACACACACACACACACACACACACACACACGCGCACACACACACACACACACGCACACTCTTACACTCATACACTACGAACAATTTAGCTTACCCAATTCACCTAAAGCATGTCTTTGGACTTGTGGGGTAAACTAGAGCTCCCAGAGGAAACCCACGAGAACACAGGGAGAACATGCAAACTCCACACAGAAATGCAAACTGACCCAGCCAAGGCTCAAAACAGCAACCTTCTTGCTTTGAGGCGATCGTGCTACTCACTGTGCAACTGTGAAAATCATTCTAATCAATCTAATTATTGTTATTAATAATATTATTATTATTAATGGTAATAGTAATAAAAGCAATAATGAATGAACTAATATTTCATTTGAAACTACATGCAATAAGTAATAAATAAATATTTAATAAATAAATACTTTTTAAAAAAAATGAACATTAAATCAAAATTTCAAAATTCACCTTTTCTATTTCCAAAACTGATAAAAAAATAAATGCCACAAATCAGCATATGAGGATGATTTCCAAAGTATCAAGTGACACAATTTGCTATAATAGCAATAAATTACATTTTAAAAATTATTTAAAATTATAATAATCTTTTGTTATTATTATTGAAATATTACTATTCATTATATACAGTTCAAGTCAGAATTATTAGCCCCCCCTGTATATTTTCCCCCCAATTTTTGTTTAATGGAATGAAGATTTTTTTCAACACATTTCTAAACATAATAATTTTAATAACTCATTTCTAATAGCTAATTTATTTAAGACATTAGTATTTAGCTTAAAGGGCAATTTAATGGCATAACTATAGGTTAATTCAGTTAATTAGGCAAGTTTGGGTAACTAGGCAAATCTTTGTATAATGATATGTTCTGTTGATAATCAAAAACAATATTGCTTTAGGGGGCTAATAACATAGACCTTAAAATGCTTTCTAAAAAAAACTGCTTTTATTCTAGCCGAAATAAAACAAATAAGACTTTCTCCAGAAGAAAAAATATTATTGGAATACTGTCAAAAATTCCTTGCTCTATTAATCATAGTTTGGGAAATATTCGAAAAAGAAAAGAAGAAAATACTTAAACTGTATATAACATTTTTTATAAAAACAAAAATGTATACAATTTGTAATAGTTTTTATACCAATGATAGCCCATTTAAAAAAAAATAAAAGTCCATCTAAATCTATAAAACAGATAATATGTAAAGTTTTAGCATTAAAAATCAAGTGTAAAAAAAACTGTAAAATTGTCCATGAATCATAAGTGCTTGCTATTCAGTTTTGATCAAATACATGGAGCTAAGGTATGCATGTTATCAAACCAGTTGCCCTTGACGTTGCCCAGTTCACTCCAAAGAGGTACACTCCACACAATAATTTAACCCTTCAAATATTAAATCACACATTGATTTATGTTGAATAAGGGTGCATGTTAATACATTGACCGATGAACACATTGTATGGATCTCCTGATGAATCCTCCTTTCTCCTTCTCCCCCGTCCATTGATTGTCCACGCCACAAGCCCCAAGAGGAAGCTTATTTGGGGCCTGTCTGCAGCGTGAGGGTGTGTAAGGGAGCACAGGGTGGTCCTGTGGGCCAGAGAGGGCAGCTAACTGGAGTAAACAGGACTCAGCAGGCTTAGTGTTTGTGTTTACTCTGCTGGAGAGGAGGCCATTAGAGCAAACAGCCAGCGTTTCTTCACATGTTGCTGAAAATCACCCCAACCTTCATTCACTCCTGTTTGGCACTATACTAACACCCAGCCAGTGTGCCCAGATGGCCCCGCTTTCCAGATCTCTCACTGTTTCTGCCCTCTCTTCCCCTCCTTCCCTGTGCCGTGGCGTCATTAAAAGTGTCTGTGAGCGGGAGGTGTCAAAAAAAGGGTGCCGAAAGAGAGAGAGCAGAAAACAATTTAGTGGCATTTAAAGATAAAGTCCTCCCCCTATTTACATGGCCTATCTAATCCAATCTAGGCTGTGTCTGCATTTTTAATTTGCACATTCAAGCGAGCTTCAGAGAGGAACCTAGGCTTAATTAGTTTAGTTATCTCCCCTCATGAATGGATAAAGTTCCCACACTGCTGGTGTTTCAGATGAAGACTAATTGGATTCTGAGGCCAAAAACAAAAGGAGAAATAAAAGAAACAAGGGTTAGATAACAGAGGGAAGATTGAATTGATAAAGCGCAAGGAGAGTGAACTGTAGTCACAGCTAAGGAGGGAGAAAAGTCCAGATTCCTGTTTGAGGTCAAAACTGTTGGAGAATCAATAATAATAATAAAAAAAAATAAAATTAAATATTTTTCTTGTTGGTTCCATGTTAAAACATCATAAATTGAGTTTACCCCATTTTGAAAATTAATATTTTTATACATTTCTCAGTGAATATAGGCAATGTATTTTAGTGCATTTAAACAAAACAGATTTATTATACAGATGTATTTATTCAAATAATATTTTAGTCACTAAACATATTAGAAAATGAAAGAAAATACAATTAAAATTTAAGCAAAATATTGCAACAAAAAAAAAAGTTACAACCTACAAAATTTCAACTAAATATTTCCATATTTGCTTCTCTTTTTCCCTTTTTTAATTTGTATTTAAGATTTTTCCATAACATATTAATTTGGGTGTACTAGTTTGGGCCGTTATCGTAAGTTATTTTGTTAGATGAGCTTCAGATTTGGCTTCAGGACTGACTAATCTAATGTATATGCACAAATATAATATTGTATAGCTTCCTATTAAAATATGAATTTGAAATATAGACTTGTGAGGGGTGGACTTATATATACTGAGCACTGTATATTCATGTTTACATTTTTTATACAGGTGACTGATAATAGTTGTTAATTCTAAACAGATTTTCAACCATTTTTTACACTAGAAAAATTATGTTTACTGTTTGTTCAAACTACCTATTAAAGTGTTTTTCACAACTTAAACCAAATATGCCCAAACTAGGGCCCATGGGCCAAAGCTGGCCCATGGTAACCTTATATTTGACCCACCATCTCATCTGAGAAGAGAGAAAGAATGATAGGAAGGGTTGGAGCAAATGCCTTTAACAGAGACCTTAATTTCCAAATTAACATAACCTTTATGGTTGTTTTATTGCTGAGCTACAAATCTTCACATCAGGTTATACACAGTTTAAAAGTTACATTGGTCTTGGTCACACTTTATTTTGATGGTCCGTTTGTTGAAATTAAGTTGCATCTATATGCCAACTAATTCTTAATAGATTATAAGTAAACTGTTAGGTTGGTGTTTGGGTTAGTGTAAGTTGACATGTACTTGCAAAGTTTCTTATGGTTAGATAACTTGCAATAATGCATTGAATGAATTAGAAATAACAGTATTGCATTTATATTGTTTAATCAAAAGAATAACAGTAGCAAAACTGTTTGTGTATTGATAAAAAATTTATAAAAATGTGAGGAATATTATGAGACACATTTTATTAAAATACCTGACTGCTTTTAAAACACTTTAGCCTTAAACCAAAATATCAAAACATATTTTATTACAGAAATTAAACGCATTTTAGAGGAGGTGTGATTTTAATTTATGAATTGCATTTGAAACAAATGCGTTGTAAAGCCAAAATTTGCCAAGCAACTCTGAGGCGGATAAAGAGATACAGTCTAAATCATTGCTGCAGTTCATTAGCACATCCGCTTGTGATGTTTTCTATGTTTTATATATAACTGAAACATTTTGCATTTTAAATGACACAAAATTTAGAACACCCCCTCAAGACCCCTCCGGGGGTTTCTGTGCAATTTGCCAGAAACTGTGCTTTTGAATATATAAAATCCAGGCCTCAAGAAAAGTAAGCCCACATTGAGTTTTAAATCTCAGCCAGCCTTTTCCAGTATCCGGTAATAAGTCGGTTTCATCCGGCTAGAGCAAAAGTGTCAACATGGCTAAAAATCATCCTTCTTAAAGAGACAAGCGAGCCTGAGTAAATCAATTATTGAACATTACCCTTCATTGTGATATCTGATTTGTACAAGGTCAAGGGAATTATTAATAACCTTCTGTTCTCTTTCACAGACACGTTTACAAATTAGCACTTCTCACAGGCCTGGGACCTGCTTTTACGGAGCTGGGTTTTCAGAGCAGCCTGAAAGTGTGAACGAGTTCCAGAGGGCAGATCATTTGGAGGAGTCTGGATAATGAGATTCTTTTCTTAATGCCATTGAACTCCATTCAATTAGTGCAAAGGGCCTATGTTTGTGACTATTGCGTGCGTACAGTGTGCTTCTGTGTGTAATTGACTTTGTAAGCCCTTGAGGAGTAAACTTTTAGTGGTTTCGAGCATTCGCTTGAGCACAAGTATGTTTGTCTATTCTTTTTTTTTCCTTCATCTGTTATTCCCCCTTTTAGCCTTAGTGGGCTGCTTGGGCCGATCTTGTGTGTGCTTGTGTGATGTATAGATTAATTAAATAAGCATATTGATTCGTGTTCTGGCAACACAGAGCGTGGGGTTTTAATTAGCCCACGCTTGAGTGTGTTAACATTCCTGTCTTATCTGTGTGGAACCAAGTGGAACTGAATGCATGAGGGCTGCTCATCAACTCTGAATTTCCAATAACCTTTTTTTTCTTCTTGTTTGGTTAAGTTCGACCCAAAGCTCAAACGTTAATGTAAGTGTATGCAACACTTCAATTTTTAATGCTCATTTTTAAGTGCAAATATTTTTGTCTATTTATACTATTTTTCTTGAATACTGTATTGAAGGAATGATATGTAAATAGCTTTGCCTCATATACACTCACCAGCCACTTTATTAGATACACTAGTACAGGGTTGGACCCCCTTTTGTCTTTAGAACTGCATTAATCCTTTGTGGCATAGATTCAACACGGTACTGGAAATATTCCTCAGAGATTTTGGTCCATATTGACATGATAGCATTACGCAGTTGCTGCAGATTTGTCGGCTGCACATCCATGATGCGACTCTTCCGTTCCACCACTTCCCAATGGTACTCTATTGGTTTGAGATCTGGTGATTGTGGAGGCCATTTGAGCACAGTGAACTCATTGTCAAATTCAAGAAACTCTGAGATCATTCGCTCTTTATGACATTGCATGTTATTCTGCTGGAAGTATCCATCAGAAGTAGAGTACACTCTGGTCATAAAGGAATGGCATGGTCAGCAACAATATTTAGGTAGGCTGTGGCATTGACATTTTCATGTTGTTGATGCCAAAATCTGACCCTAACATTCCAATGTCGGAGCAGAAATTTAGACTCATCAGACCAGGCAACGTTTTTCCAATCTTCTATTGTCCAATTTAGGTGAGCCTTTGCAAATTGTAGCCTCAGTTTCCTGTTCTTAATTGTCAGGAGTGGCACCTGGTGTGGTCTTCTGCTGCTGTAGCCCATCTGCCTCATGGTTGGATGTGTTGTACTTTCAGAGATGCTCTACTGCATTCCTCGGTTGTAACAACTGGTTATTTCAGTTACTGTTGCCTTTCTGTCAACTTAAATCAGTCTTTTCTCCTCTGACATCTGGCATCAACAAGGCATTTACACCCACAGAACTGCCACTCACTGGATATTTTCTCTTCTTCAGACCATTCTCTCTAAACCCTAGAGATGGTTGTACGTGAAAATCCCAGCAGATGAGAAGTTTCTGAAATACTCAGACCAGCCCATCTGGCACCAACAATCATGCCATGTTCAAAGTCACTTAAGTTATCTTTCCTCCCCATTCTGATGCTCGGTTTGAACTGCACCAGATTGGCTTGACCATATCTAAATGCTTAAATGCATTAAGTTCCTGCATTTGCTTAAGCCAGCAGTTGGATAGGTGTACCCAATAAAGTGGCTGGCGAGTGTATGATAACATGTAAAATGCATTAGCATGCTGAGATTATTAACTTGTAATGTATGTATGTATATACATAACATTTTATTATACACTCACCAGCCACTTTATTAGGTACACCTATCCAACTGCTTGCTTAAGCAACCCTGATATATATATATATATATATATATATATATATATATATATATATATAATTCTTTAAAGAAAATCATATTAATATGGATGCTAATAAGCTATAAATAATAAGCCACTGGATAATTACAATGTAAAGTACAGCTTGTTGAAATTGTTTGAATAAATATACACACAGCATGTGTATGTGTGTGCTTTATAATTACTAATGTGCTTTACACAGTTAATAAGCAACCTATATATTTATGCTAATTATGAAACTACTTAATAGTTAATATTTCTGTGTTTACTTTTGTATTGAGTAATACTAGCAGTTTTATATTTTATAATAGTTTTGTGTCTTTGTAGTGCTTATCCTATACATACACTTTATTTGTAAACATTAGAGAAAACATTCGTTGTTGTTAATAGGATTTATTAATATGGGGTCAGGTTAGGAAAAATATAATATATTTCTTATTTCACAGATGTGTTACTATGTTTATGTGGTTGAAATGTGTTTTTAGTTTAATGATTTAGTTTTATGGTTTTCTGTTAACTATAATAACCCTGATATATTGCTTAAACCACTTTAACCCTTTGTTTTGTTTTTCTCAAAATTTGTTAATTTTGAGGCTGAACTAAATTTACTGAATTACCATACACCTAAATCTTCTGCCTCTCCTTATAACCACTTCTAATGTCTTGAATAAATTACATGAATGCATTTAATGTCTCAAATGTGCCATTTTCCTACAGCTTGCGTTCTGAAGGTTTGTTTCGAGCCTTTCGTCTTTCTTGGCAGCAGACAAGTGTGACTGCACATTTTTTGTGCACATCCAAGAACCTTCTGTCCTGCCCACTGATACCTCGATCTGCTCTCTCTCAGCCATCTTGTCCTCCATAAATTTTTCACCATGCTGTGATCAAAGCTCACCACTGTATTTGTGTTCTGTTGTATTGGCCAATGATGTAACCTGAAAATCTCTTTAAAAATTACGAGGCGTCTTATATCAGGGCTGTAGTGTTTGTGTGTGGGTTTTGAAGGTGATTGATTTATTTAGTTTCGACGGGCAGGAGTGTTTGCTGCTGTAGGCGTGTCAGTGGGTGATCTGCATTCATATGCCGTGCACTTGTCTCAATAGTGCAGCCGGGCCAAGCAGATGTGGCAGAAAACACACTCTGATGGGGTTTTTGAGGAGATAAATGTGAACTTAGGATATGTACACATCAGTTTTGTTCAAAAACTTTCTCATTAGTATACAGTTTAATGAAGAAATGAGTGGGTGTTTTCAATTTTTCTCTCTAGACACTCAGCAGAATCTATACACAGAGGATTTTGGAATTGATGGTTGAGTTAAACAACTTTTTTTTTAAGTAAACTTGACAGGTGAAAAATACTGAATGCAATGATATATTGACTTTTGATTCACTGAAAGAGTATTTGCAGTGATCAAAGAAATATCATACCAATTTTATAAGCAATATCAATATTTTTATGTAAGTTTTATATGTAATATTCACAATACTGATACTAGTACTGATTGTTTCCTAAAATTATTGATTTATTTATGCAGGGACGATATACAACATGTAGTCCCTGGGCAGGAAAATATAACAAGTCTAACAATATAAAAAAAAATTACAATATACACTTATAGTACAATACAACATAGTCAATAAAATGAAATCAAATCAGAGGTTGCATATTTGATTTTCTTTAAGACAAACTTTAAAAAAAAAGGTAAAAAATTATGTGTTAAAATTAAAAAGTGGTACTCTCTCTAATATGCACTGGTATTGTATTGAATCTTTCTGTTGCTCTGACTAAAAAATAGGGGTAACGCTTTATTTTGATGGTCCATTTGAGTATTAGTAGACTGCTTCAAATCTGTTGATACTGCTCCTTCAACCGGCATTTAACTGACTGTAAGAAACTTTGCAAGTACATGTCAACTTACCCTAACTCTAATCTCAACCTAACAGTCTACTTATAATCTTATGTGAATTAGCAATTAGCAATATAACTTAAATTCAACAAATAGACCATCAAAATAAAGTGTGACCATATCTTATTGTCCTCAAATAGTTCTCTTGAGTTTAACTGAACAAATACCTCTATCCGATGACCTATTGTCCTTGCAGACAATCACCCATTGTTTGAGAGGTGGTGGTGCAAGATCATTAAATATTGTAAACATTAAACACACATCAGCATGGATATATGATATAGACATTTTATTTCAATGTATTCAAAATCTTGTTTATTTTTTGACATCCATATGAGACACAATGGCCAAACGAAACAAATCCTAGCACAAACAAATATGAGGACAAATAATAATATAAATTTTATAATTTACACTTTCTATAAGCTCTCAAAGTTCTTAAAGAATTGTTGATAATGTAGTAATTAAAATTACATTAATTGTCACCAAAGCTCTTAATTTTGGTGTAGATCATTAAATCATTATGCTGCATCAGTATGGTAGCCAAAAATATAGTCTTGGACTGCATCTAAAATCACATAATATCCTAAGTACTCAATTTGAGTAGAACAAGTATACTTTTTGAGCTTGAATTTAGTGCTGATATACTATATAGACCCACCACACATCTCTTGCCTCACTTAACATGATGCAGCCTTTGTGTTTCGAAGAGGTTGTCTTTCTGTGTGGCCCATGATTTCTTCTTCATGTTAGAATAATTCACATAGACTTGCTTTGCTTGTGTTTCTCACATCGATTTCCCCTGCTGCCGAGTGCTGAAGACCATCTTACAGAGGCTTTGCTGTCTTTCATGTTCCTTAATCCTGGGCTATGTTAGCATAATGCTAATGCACTGTTTAGTCTTCATAATCACTCTGTAGGTCTTTGTGAGGTGCAGAGAAATCTTCTCTCAGATCCATCAGTACCATTCAATTCATTTTAGATGTGCATTTTTTCTCACTGTTTGTCTATATTACAGCAGTCATAGGAAGGTTCCTTAAAGTCTGCTATGCTGTAGTACTGAAACTTACAGTGCTCAGTATAATTAAATACACCCCATTTTGAAAATTAATATTTTTATCATTTTTTCAGTGAATAAAGGCAATGTATTTAGGTGCATTTAAACAAAACAGATTTATTAAACAGATATATTTATTACAATAATATTTTAGTCACCAAACACATTTTAAAAAATGTGAGATAGATAATACAATTAAATTAAAGCGAAATATTGAAATGAAAGTTACAACCTACAAAATTTCAACACAAACTTTCATTTGTTTGCTTCTATTAATTGTTCCTTTTTAAATTGTATTTAATACTTTTCTATAGCATATAAATTTAGGTGATTTAGTTTGGACCGTCACCGTGAGTTATGCTTTGGCATATATTAAATTATATTCTTTATTTTTATTTCAAGGGGAAAAAGACAGTCACATGTTTGAAATGAACAGATAATAAATAACATTTCATTTCTTTTATTCTTTAGCTGAAGTATTCCATTTAAAACGCTCAATACAACACCGCATGTCACACTTGATTGACAAGGCCTACCCGGATGGGTTTGTTGGCGCATACGAGAGGTCAGTGTTTAATTGCATTATTTTAAAGCTTCCGCCACCCACTACTACTAAAAAGACACAATGAGCACCCTGTCATGTCTGCTACTCCAAACACACACTCATCTAAATTGCATTAGAGTTCATTGAAAATAAGCACCCTATATCCATTCATGGGTGTCCATTGTCTCTTGACTTCGCTTCAGTCTCACATGATGCTGCTCAGTGCTTGAGTGAGCAGGAACAGAAAATGTCCCAAAAAGCTTTTTAATTGCAACAAGCCGTGTTGGCATCCATACATCCTGAACCACCAGTCCCAAAGTCTTCACTT